GCCACCAGCAGGACCTGCTCCTCGTCCTCCCTGACCTTGCACAGCAACTGTGCAAGAAGGCTCACTGGGGGAAACGCATACTTGCGAAGGCCCCGCCGGCCAGCTGTGTGCCAGTGCGTCCGTGCCGAGTGTTCCCTCGGCCAGGGAGAAGAACAACTGGCAGTGAGAGGTTTCTGGAGAGGCAAACAGGTCTACCTGAGCGGCTCCGAAACGTCTCCAAACCAGCTGTACCGTCTAGGGATGGAGTCGCCATTCTCCCGAGTGTGCAGCTCGGGACAGCTCGTCGGCTGCCCGGTTGAGCAGCCCAGGAATGTGAACAGCACGAAGCGACCTCAGATGCTTCTGACTCCAGAGGAGGAGGTGGCGGACGAGTTGCAACAAGCGACGGGAGCGCAGACCACCTTGTCGGTTGATGTACGCAATGGTCGTTGTGTTGTCCGTGCGGACTAGTACATGCTTGCCTCGTAAGATCCCTTTGAGGCAGCTCAGGGCAAGGTGCACTGCCAGCAACTCGAGGCAGTTGATGTGCCAGTGCAGTTGGGGCCCCGTCCAGACCCCTGACACTGCAAGCCCGTTGTACGTTGCCCCCCCAGCCTGTGGTTGAGGCATCCGTGCAAACCACAGCATGCCTGGAGACCTGCTCTAGGGGCACTCCTGCCCGGAGAAATGCAAGGTCTGACCACGGGGTGAAGGTTTGGCGGCAGGCCGGTGTAACTTGGACCCAGAAAGTGCCGGGTTACAACGCCCACCTCGGGACTCGGCCATGGAGCCAGTGCTGCAGCGGTCTCATATGGAGCAGCCCCAGCGACGTGGCCGCCGCCGTAGCTGCCATATGCCCCAGGAGCACTCTGAAACTGTTTCAGTGGGACCGCCATCCTGCTCTTGAATGTATTCAAGCAGTTCAACACCGACTGAGCACGTTCCTGCATGAGGCGTGCTGTCTGTTCGACCGAGTCCAACTCCATACCGAGAAAAGAGATCCTCTGCGTTGGGGAGAGTTTGCTCTTTTCCCAGTTGACCCGAAGGCCCAACAGGCTGAGGTGTGAAAGTACCAAATCCCTGTGTTCGCACAACTGATCCTGAGACTGAGCGAGTATGAACCAATCGTTGAGGTAGTTGAGAATGTGAATGCCCTGTTCTCTCATTGGAAGAAGGGCTGCCTCCGTAACTTTCGTGAAGACACGGGGCGACAGGGACAGCCCGAAGGGCAGGACCTTGTACTGGTATGCCCGCCCTTCGAACGCAAACCGCAGTAATGGCCTGTGGCGCGGAAGGATCGACACATGGAAGTACGTGTCTTTCAGGTCGATCGCTGCGAACCAATCTCGGGGACGGATACACCTGAAGATGCATTTCTGCGTGAGCATCTTGAACGGGAGCCTATAAAGGGCCCGGTTCAAGACGTGCAGATCCAAGATAGGTCTCAACCCACCGCCTTTCTTGGGTACAATGGAGTAAAGGCTGTAAAACCCCGACCTCATATCGGTTGGAGGAACCGGCTTTATCGCGACGCATGTCAGCCAGACACAGCCAGAGATGGCGCTCCTGGACCACCATAGTGGATATCGCACGACCCAGAGACAGCGCCGTAACCTTCGTCGTAGCACGAGGTCCGTAGCGGTGCGGAGTTCTTTGAGTGCCCCGCCAAGTGGTAGCAGCATTTGGACACAACTGCATCGCAACTGAACGCTCCACCTAGGGAACTCCCGCGTACCCCTGCGCTGGACCACCATCAAGGGTGGTGAGGGAGGATGAGCCACTGGGCCGGTTTCTGGCAGTGACTTGTCCGTCTCGCGCATGTCAGCCAGACACAGCCAGAGATGGCGCTCCTGGACCACCATAGTGGATATCGCACGACCCAGAGACAGCGCCGTAACCTTCGTCGTAGCACGAGGTCCGTAGCGGTGCGGAGTTCTTTGAGAACTTCCGGGTCGTGTCCACCCTCGTGCAAGTCCCTCAGTGCCTTAGCCTGGTGCACTTGCAATAACGCCGAAGCGTGTAAGGCGGACGCAGCTTTTCTACAGGCCGTATAAGCACTGCCGATCATGGCCGACGAGTGCCTACAGGCCCGGGAGAGGGTTCGGGACGCGGTGGAAGATTCCACTTGAGCCCGACACTCTTGGCGGCCTGGGAAAGCATAGCCATAATTTCCGGGTCCGTATCCGGCACCGCTGACCGCCCAGAGGGCGGCAACGCTGACGGATCTTCATCCCCAGAGAAATCCGGCTCACCCTCCCATGCCCGTACCCCTGCGCTGGACCACCATCAAGGGTGGTGAGGGAGGATGAGCCACTGGGCCGGTTTCTGGCAGTGAAAGGTGCCGTCCAACCAGCACGAGCCACCCCGAGAAACCAATCGTCCAACCTTGAGGGTTCGGGACGCGGTGGAAGATTCCACTTGAGCCCGACACTCTTGGCGGCCTGGGAAAGCATAGCCATAATTTCCGGGTCCGTATCCGGCACCGCTGACCGCCCAGAGGGCGGCAACGCTGACGGATCTTCATCCCCAGAGAAATCCGGCTCACCCTCCCATGCCGCAACCGACATCCGATCGTCGGGGGGAGCCTCGGAAGAAACAGGTGGTACCCCCCGGGAGGGTCCAGCCTGCTCTTTCGAGGGCTCCGCTGGTTTCGGAGTGCCGGCTGGCTGGGGCATCCCCGGAGGGGAATTCCTCACCGTGACCATAAGACCATTCTGCCCACTGCTAGAAAAAGGGCGCCCCCGGCTGCCACCAGAGGGAACCCTAGATCTAGGCAGTGGCACAGGCACTCCGCCCCTTTGCAGGTAACGGAGTCCAGTCCGCAACTCCGAGATGGTTATACCCCCGCAATGGGAGCATGAGTCATCCACGAAAGCCACCTCAGCATGCTTCGTGCCCAGACACAAGAGGCAGTGATCGTGACCATCACCCGGCACCAGGTAACGACAGAACCCAGAAACACACGGATGGTACGACATCTTTAAAAAGACGCGTCTTTAAAAAGACGTTCCACCCATGAAGCTCTTTTAGATGGAAATTGCTCTTTTAATGTGCTGAGGAGCACAGGGGAGATGGCCGTCTGCAACACACACAGGGGTAGTGCAGCCTGTTGTGTGCAACCCACTCGACACAGGAAAACGACCGCCGCTGAAGCGCCGTCCACTAGCACGAGAGCCCACGAAGAGCGTGCTTGACTGTAGTTTTTACTCTACGTAGAAGGTCAGGAGCAGAACGATAGAACCGCTCGGCTCCGAAGCGAAAAGCTGAATATGCGCTGCATCTGCTGCCTACTTATACTCATGCTGTGATCAGCAGCAGCTGGATGCAATAATCGCATGCCAATGTGCATTGGCTCGTTTAGTTTACACTGGAAGTGGATTGGTCTCTCTAAGCGAGATCCCAATTTCGTCGGTCATCTGACGTGACGTCGAGAGTGACGACTGAAAGGGAACCACTGTAACATTTTACAATTTTACACATTGTAAACTATGATAAAAATATTTTTGAAAGAATTTTCACTCAGAAATGGCTAATAGCCTAAATCTCACAATTAATTACAAAGAAATAGCAAACATTGAATTAAACATTGCATTTTGTAATTCTTGTAAAACTTACTCCAGTGGACATGACAATCTTCGAAAATTTTTTTTTTTTTTTTTTTTTTTTACTGTACTTCGTTATTTATAGCGGTCTATATTCGCGAAAAATGTAATTGCATAGTTGGGTCAAAATAATAATATTTCACTTATTATTGCACTTAATACTAATAATAATAACAATATAGAACAGTACTTTAATTGTCCATTTAGACACATATTTCACAAATTGTTATATGCTATTATTATTATTATTGCCAGGACTGAACTAAGGCAGCAGTGACGCCCAGTTTGTTGGCTGCTGGTTCATCAGTGCTGCGCGCACGGGGTACGTGAGCGCTTGGAGACGTAGCGCTGCGCGTGGGTCGCTACGAGGGTGTGTGCGTCCATGACACTACTCCACTACACCGATTAAACATCATATATCAACCTACGGCAGGTCACGGAGCATCGCATCACTCACCCTGGAAACCAACGCTCTTAAACGCCATCCGCGCAGTTGTGCCATTCAGTCCGTTTGAACAGCGCTCATTCGCGAATACACCCTGCTCCGGAGGTGGCTTCTAATACCGGAAAATGACACTGACCCATAGCCGGAGATAGGGATGGATCCAAGAGTGTGGAGGATGCTCGCCCTGCTCGGTGTGTTTGCAGTCTTACTGGAGGTAAGATGCGCCTTTAGGGCTGTTCAGTAATAGCGCGGAATAAATACACCTAAATGGCTTTATTAGATTTGCTAACACAATGTGTGCTTTTGCGTGCTCTTATTTGTATTGCTTTGAGCCACTAACATTAATGCAGCATGATTTCAAAGTGCACTTTTTGGCCAAATCTAGTTCAGCATCTTCTATCTGTCATTGTGCAATAAAACACTCACATGCTGTTTAATGGATTCCACCAAAGCCACCTCCCTCTAATAGAGGATCTGCCATGCTGTAGGGAGGAAATGTTGCTTAAATGATACACGTTAAACATGGGGTTTGTACATGGAGGATTATTAGATGTTTAAATTCAGTTATCATTTATTACCCTTTTTTTCTGTTTCCATTGTGAATGCACAAAGCTCAGAGCTTGCAAACCACAAGAATTCTAAAATACAACACACTGACCAATATTCTGCTGTAAGACTAATGAGTTTGATGAGCGTGCCAGAATACAATTATTGACCCACACACATAATGGTATTTCAGGGGATGTGGAGAAGAATTCAGTATTAGGATTGTTTGAAAAGAATGGTTGATTTTTTGTAATAGAGCATATCTACACTCAGAAGTCTCCAAACTCAGTTCAGCACAGAAGACAAAGAAACATCCAGTTGTGAAAGATTCAACAGAAATGCTTTGAACTTTCATGCTTTTTCATTTTGTGGTACTACCAACTAAACCACTCCTAGCATATCACTGCTAGCATATCATAAAAAAAAAAATTGCAGAGAAAGGCATCAGCGTTATTTAACAGCTAGACAATTGTACCTTCATCTCAGTTCACATCCACTACAGAGCTGGAGTATCTTAACATCTGTTTGGGCGGTGAAACAACAGCACTATGGGAAGGAATTAATGCGTAATATACCTGCCGTGCTCCATTAGAGACTTTATGCTCCTCTTGATTATGAAAATTTCACAGCACCAGCAAATCTGTTGAAGGGCTATGCTGCTGACATAGTGTCATACACCGGATTGATTTTAAATATCTGCGTGCATTTTAAAATGTGCATTTGCAATTAGACTCCTGGGATACAAAAAAACAGCAGCACACCGGATGTGTGCTATAGGCTAGACATCAAGGTTGATGTGAGCCTTCTTGTGTTTGCAGCTGTCAGTAAGACACACCTGGTCATATGTTCACTCATCTGTGCTATACTCCATTACCACAAGCTGTTTCTTGTATAGGTGTCATTTGAAATGGACAGCCAAATGGGAGTCAAAAACAAAGATGCTGTTTAAATCAAGGGTTTTGTTTAATGTATATTTTTCTGTTTGGGGGAAAGGAACATAATCAAGGACAGTGCCAGTCTGGCCCCAGTTGTTGCTGTGGAATGAGAATGACGGATGCAATTATGGCCGTAACTGACCTGAGTGGGTTGAGATGAGCACAAATATCAGGGCGCATAACTGGAGCTTGTTATCTATAATACAATTAGCCTTGCTGCTGGTGATGCTTAATCCTCAGATCAGTTTATTGGTCATGAATTACTGAAGTCAATACCATGTTTTCATCTGTAGACGTGTTTGAAAAATGACTGTGTGCAGTGCAGCTAGAAACAAAGGGGTTTTGAAAGAATAGTTCATTTAAAAATTAAAATTTGCTGAAAAGTTTCTCACCCTCAGGCCATACAAGATGTAGATGAATTTGTTTCTTTATCAAACAGATTTGGAGACATTTACCATTAAATCATTTGCTCACCAGTGGATCCTCTGCAGTGAATGGATGCCATCAGAATGAGAGTCCAGACATCTGATAAAAACAAAACAATAATCCACAAGTCCTCTATCCATAATATTGATTTCTGCAGTCTTGTCTAAAGCAGAAGAAATATGCACATATCTAGCACCCTTTACAAGCGAAAACAGTTCTAAACAAATATGTGGGTAGATTTTTATATGAGAGGACAACAGGGGACAGACTTTATTGTGAAGTTTTAGCTGTTTGAACTCTTATTCTTTATAGGAATAGTTCATTAAAAAAATGATTTTTTTAAAAATTATTTATTCACCTTCATGTTATTCCAAACCTGTATTTTTTTCTTTCTTTTGTGGACCTCAAAAGAAGTTCATCATGCAGAAGATGTCTATCTGTTCTCTTTTAAGGATTCAAATGTAAGCTGAATGTATCAGTCCTAAAGGGATAGTTAATTCTATCATTATTTACTCATCCTTATAACATTCCAAACCCATAATGTTGTTGTTTTCTGTGGAGCACGATTGTTTTTAAAGAATCATTATGGAGATTTCCATATAATCTTAGTTTATCATGACCAGGGGCTGTAAAATTCTAAATATAACAAAAGGCATAATAAATGCACCATTAATTCTAAAAACAATATCAAATGTGGCACCTATTGTGCAGGTTGGATGTCAATAACATCAAATGTCAATAATTATTCAGTGTTTCTTAATGTCGTGACATCAAAACTGCACCATAATCAAAATGTTTGATTCAAGAGCTGCAATATAGGTGAAGAAGATAGTCTATGAATAATAAATAAAGATTTTTATAGATTACATTTATGGTCTACATTTATTTCTATTTACTATAAGGAAAAAAGGACATTGTACATATTCTAAAGAATCTGTGTTGTTCTTGCCTGTGCAAAAGTTGCTTTTGTGTTGCTGGCGTGTTGTCAGTTGCTCCTAGGGTGTTGCTGTGTTGTTGCTAAGATGTTCTGGGTGGTTGTTAGGCTGTTGCTAAGGTGTTCTGTATGGTTGTGAAGTTGTTACTGGGCCAAGTCAAACAATCCACACCAAGATTCTATGATGTTCTATACCATTCAAACGTTTTGATACAGTATTTTTTATTTTTATAAATTAATACTTTTATTCAGCAAGGGTGCATTAAATTGATCAAAAGTAACAGTAAAGACATTTATTATGTTACTGAAGACTTATATTTCAAATAAATGCTGTTCCTTTGAACTTTCATCAAAAAATCTTAGAAAAGTGTATTACGATTTCTACAGAAATATTACGCAGCAATTACTGTTTTCAGCATTTATAATAATTAGAAATGTTTCTTGAACACCATTTCAGCATATTGCAATGATCTCTGAAGAATCATGTGACACTGAAGCCTGGAGTAATGGCTGCTAAAAGTTCAGCTTTTCCATCACGGGAATAAATTACATTTTAAAATAGATTGTAAATAATATTTCACATATTGCTGTTTTTAGTGTATTTTTGATATACATAAGTATAGCATAAGAGACTACTTTCGAATAATTGAAAGAATTTTACCAACCCCATACTTTTGCTAGTATTTTAAGTTTAAAAAAAAAAAACTTTTTATTAGAGTTAGTCTTAAAACAAGATTGCTAGTGGAGTAAGAAAAATAGTCTTAATTAAAGAAATATTCTCTGAAAACAAACCTAATTATCTAACACAATTTTGCTTCTCAAGAAAATTGATCTGGTTTAAAAGGACGTTTAGATACTTTACTGTAAAACAAAATACTAATTAAAATGAAAATTAATTAAAAAAATTATTAAATGCTTTTTATTCTGTGTCACTCGCTACAGATGAAATATTTTTCAGTTTGTTCCAGACACTTTATCGACAGCATTATGGCGTTTCCTGCCCACACATCTTTATGCATCCAATTAAGTAGAAACGCAGAGAACGATTTCCCTGAGGTTGGCACAACTCTTTCTGAGAGTGCTCTCCGCCATCCTTTTTTTAATATGTCTAATTCAGCTCTGCCCTGATTGCACTGAGTCTGTCTGAGCTTGCAGATGGAGACATTAATCTACTGCTGCTCTTACACACACTCACACACGCACACACTGTTCCATGGTAATATATGTTTTTCTGATGTCACTTGAATGCAGACAGCCTAGCTCAGAAAGTGCAGTCGTATGAGTATGCAGACAAAGAAGACTGCAGACGTGCTAGTCGTGACTGTGAATTAACAGCCTGTTCTTTCTACTGTCGGTGATGTGATTTCAAAGGCAAATAGAAGGTGGAGGACCCTTCATATCTACAGAGCTTTCTGGTGACAGGCTGGGAAAGGCATTCTGCTAAGTCATGTAGTGCTGGATTCTGGGACTTAAGGAACTGTGGCTGTCTTTGGGTCCAACTCACAGCAAAGTTCCTCAAAAATTGCAGACAGACGTGGAAAATCTGCTGACATCTCTCTGAGGCTTTTTTTGTGCAATGTCTGCAGCATTTCACAGTCCATATGGACCTCACCATCTAAACTCTCCATGAGTGCTTCCCATAGTTCTGCTCTCTCCATGTGTTCAGTCATCCGGCGAGAGATGCATCAGCACAGTACTAAACTCAAACACTCAATCCCCCATTAGTAAAGTAAAGTTGTGTTCAAACTGTTTAAAAGTTTAGAACAGCTCCACTAATAAACTTTCCGACACTTTATCTAGCCATTCAAAGCGTGTATGATGTTACATGAGAAATGCAATTTGATCCTGATTTTCACAGTGCTACAACCCCAAAATCGAGTTAACATAATCAAGTTTGTATTCTGGAAGAAGACCAGCTCTGATTTTCCATCCAGCTATCTATGATCCAGGCATAATCGTGTGAGGACTTCTGTTTCCTTCAGTCATTTTCCCAATCATTTCTTATTTTTTTAATTTCTTCTTCTTTTTTTCTTATGTGCTTAAACATCATCTTAGTGATTTTTATTTTTCACCGTCGCCTTTAGCTGCTCACTGTTTGTAATAAACTCTTCTTTGTAATGCTGCCTTGGAACCATATGCATTGTGAATAGCTGTATAAAACTTAATTGATTTATTTTATTTTTTTTGCATTTTTGTCCACTTGCTTATTTTCTGTTTGTTTTGTTGTGCACTAAGTAGCCCTGCCCACAGTGAAATCTCATTGGTTTAAAATCCTGGTCTATATTAAAAATCAAACAATTTAGCTGTGATGGTGCCACGTCATGCAGATTTTTTTTCTTTTCGGTTTGGACAGACAAATTACTTGTCTTGTCACTGGAAGCTTGTCTTTACTATTAATGTGACTGGAAGAACATTTGTTCATCACTTTGAGAGAACCTTAACAGAACATTAGTCGAAGTTTTGAGAACACTCCCTGTTATCTGTGTAGAAACCATAACTTTTCCTTAATAAAAGGTGCAAGCTTGAAATAATTGTGCCTTTAAATCCTGTACAGGTGGTGGAGCTCTTGTTGGTGAGTCTCAAGTAGGGCAGGTCAGTGAGAGTTCGGCTCCCTGCTGCTTTATTGGCTGCTCATCTCAGCTTCTCAGCACCTGCTTAGAGCGCAGCCTTGTCTAATCCCTCGTCCTTTATGCTGGAAAAGGAGGCTGAAAGAGGCATCCAGATGTCCACTTTCTCTCTCTTTTAACTCTCCTGCCCAGGGCCTGAGGAATCAGTGCTCATGGCTTGGAGGAGATGTGGAGGCCAAGTTGGGTGTTCCGGAGAGATAAACAAAAGGGCCGCTGTTAGATACAAGATGCTGGCAGAAAAGCCATATTGAAAAGCTGCATCTGCAGCTCTACAGATTGGCAATTTATACAGGGATTATTATTTTGGACTCTAGAAGGGGATTTTAGGAAGGATTTTGGTAGATAGTGAGCGCTCTTGGAACTAAACCTAAAAAATTTTTTTTGTGCATGCAGAATAACAGTTACTTCTTTAAATGTCTCAAGATAGATAGATAGATAGATAGGTCATGGCTGATACTCATATTAAGTAGACACACTCGATATTGACTACTGTTTGAACAAACGAATCAGACTTCATCACTTGCAAAATATCAGTGTGAACAGTCACCCTTGAAGATGGGATTTGAAAACTAAATCGGATTTATGCACAGTATAAAATCCTTTTTCTCTTTTTTCGCCCCAGTTCCTCTGTCCTGCTCCGAGGGCTTCACTGAGCTGGGCTATTACAACGGCACAGTTTCTCAGACCGACTCGGGTTCACCCTGTCTAAAGTGGACCGAATTCCCAGATTACATGCAGCAGTATCCGGGCAGGGGTCTTGGAGAGCACAATTTTTGTCGAAATCCTGACCGTGAGTCCAACCCATGGTGTTTTTTCAGGCAGAGTTCAGGGGCCATTGGTTGGGCCTACTGCGACTGCCATCAAGGTGAGTACTACAGCGTTTCATTAAAGGTGGCTAGCTACACTCCACTAGTGAGTAAATTCAAAAAGTATTATAGATCTTTTGTAATATGATTTTTAAAAATAATATTCCTTAAGGCGGCGTCCCACTAGCCAAGTCGAAACAACATTTTTCTGTCTGAGATCTGTCACGTTCACTGATTTAAAATGTTATGTAAACAGCAACCTGCAGTTTCCTGTCATAGATTGCAATACCTAATTTTGGCAAATCAATGTGAAACTCACCAAAATAACAACAGAAAAAAACAGCAATTCACATCTACCCAATGAATCTCTTCGAATTTTGCTGCGGAATATTCATGCACAGCTTCAATGAGAAAAAGATGCGCTTCTAATAAACAACCCTAACCGTTTTATTTTATTCATTTTAGTGTCTGAGAATTCCAGAAAAACACAATCAGTGTTTGCAATATGTGGCTTTGCATCTGCTGAGAAAAAAAGTTTGGGTCAGATCCATTAACTCATCAGGGAGTTGACTCTCTGGGGCTGTTAACGCTTCCCGCAGAGAGAAACACAGGAGCTTATGACTGAAAATCAGCTAGTGGGACGGCCTTAGATGTTCAAATATTCTAACATTCTTCAGATGATAAATAAGTGTTTTAGGATCTCTATATGTGTACTGTTGTCCTACTTTCCTTCAACTTCATCAACTTCATATTTAGAAATCAGTGGTTGACATTCTTGTGAAGAATATTCTGTATGTATCTCAGGAAAATTAGAAAAGGTTTATTCTTAAAGAAAGAAGAAGCTTGTGTAAAAAGCATCTTTGCATTCTGTGTGCAGTTGAGACAAAAGGTGACTGTGACTTTGCTAAGTAGGACATGCTCCTGGATCAACATTCTGTTCCTGTTATCAACCAATCACATATTACTCTTATATATATATATATTTATCTCTCACTTGTTTGCTCAGGAGCAGTCAGGTTAGCAGGAGGTTCATCCCCAAAGAGTGGCCGACTGGAGGTCTACCTGAATGGCCAGTGGGGGTCGGTTTGTGACACACACTGGACAGACCATGATGCTAGTGTGGTTTGCCGACAGCTTGGACTGGGGTATGGGAATTTATGTTTATTTCTAATTGGGGCTATCAATTTAACACATTAATTTAGAACAATGGATTAAATATAATGTAAAAAATGATGCTTCGACTGAAACAGTAATGTAATGTCTGTGAATTATAATTAATTGTTTTTTTTCTCAACAAATATGTCATGATTAATTGCAATTCATTTGAAAAATTTGTAATGTAATTAATTTAATAAAATTCAGCCCTGCTTTATTTTATCTGTGAGTATCAGATCTGATTTTCCATAGATTTATGGATCTGTGCCTCTCAGTGTGGTCAAAGCAAGGGTACTCATTTGTATATTTAAATGATTAATTAAAATTCACAGTGTCTTGATTTTTTACTATGTCTATTTTTGATTTAGCCTTTGTTAAATCATCTAAAAGTGGGTGGAAAGACTCACGTCGCTGAACAGTGGAGGAGATAACTTCTTCATATTTCTTTCCATTTGTTGTAGTGAGATTGGCACGGCTCTCCAGCACTCATATTTTGGCCCCGGCTCCGGGCTTTTTCACTACGCCCGCCTTGGCTGCCGTGGTGATGAGAAATCCCTGCTGGATTGCAGAAGCAGGAAGTTTGTTACGAGTGACTGTAACCATGGAAACGAGGCCGTAGTGGTGTGCGCACCACCTGAAGGTCAGTGTGCTTTCTGTGACAGTGAAGCTAATGACCTTTTAAGTGAAATAAACACTCTTGCATCTACACTCTTAAAAATAAAGGTGCTTCAAAAGGTTCTTCAAGCGATGCCATAGAAGAACCATTTTTGGTTCCACAAAGAACCATTCAGTCAAAGGTTCTTTAAAGAACCATCTCTTTCTTATCTTATTGTAATCTGAAGAACCTTTTTCACCACAAAGAACCTTTTGTGAAACAGAAAGGTTCTTCAGATGTTGAAGGTTCTTTATGGAACCATTTAGACAAAAAGGTTCTTCTATGGCATCGTGAAGCACCTTTATTTTTAAGAGTGTAGATGCCCTCACAAAACCACAGAGCTGTCATAAAACAGAAAAAGTGCTTTTAAATTGGATACAAAGATCATCAGGGTTATTTAAAGTCTGTTTTCGAGAATTAAATTTCAGCCTCTGTGTCTGCATTGTAAGTGAACATCGCAATATGGCAAATAAGACTGCTCCCATTATAATCAACAAAGTTGTCTACAAGTGCTTATAATGTGAGCGTCTTGTTTTTTTCATGATGTGTTGTGCTGCACCTCGTTGCTTGCTTGCAGTGCAGACCGGCTGTAAAACCTGATAATTAAATTACATTCAGTTGCAGTATTAGCTGTTAATTTACTCTTGTTTTTGTAATCTTGATGCAAATCATTACATTATCAAAATAATGTCATCGTTGATGCCCCTTTATGCTTTATTATGCTTTCAGCTACCGATAAGAGTGGACTATTCTCAGCTCTGTCAAATTTGAAATTAATTCCACAGATTTTGCCATAAAAACAGAATTGAAGATCTAAAACAGTGTCTGGATAATGACTTGTGACGCTATGATTTTTCTTCAGTGTTGTGATATAAATATGAAAAATATAATTAGACATTGCTGTAATTGTCAGTTTCTGCACATTTTACTCTATTTCTTCCCTGTTCACCCTGCATTTTCTAAAAGTGGCCCTCGAGCGACGTCATTTGAGTATGTCTGATCTACCTGAATACTAAGACAGAAAACCACGGGGTGTGTGATGGAACATCATGAGGATGATTATGTTATCTTTGAATTGCCATTATTGCTGCTGCTTTGTCCATTCATTTTGACTTATTAAATTGGCGCTTACTGAGATTAGAAATTTTAATGAAACATTTCAGTGGGGGCTCATACTTTCTTTGGTGGAATCAAAAGAGCCATAGTTTCTTTTGTAGAAAGGTACAACGGGGGAAAAAATGAGAAAAGAGGTTGGAAAGCAAATCAATGGCGTCTGAACTCATGATTGCCTACTGAGAGCTTTATTGAAGACACAATCTGAGGACACACGGACACATGTGCACTGTGCTGCGTTACCAGGACAGCAAATTATGTATTTTAGCCCTTGAATTGAAAGAATGGCTGCATATAATGTGTTCCTGACATGAATTATTATTATTATATATGAAATATTACCAGCAACTGTGCATATATCTGATCGTAGTGATTGGTTTTGCTTCAGGACCTAGTTTTTATAGTGGACATTAATTGATGACTCAACACATTACCACATTATTATGATAAAATATAAAAACAATATGCAAATATACTTACACTTCTGTTCAACATTTTTGGGAGTCAGTAAGCTTTTGAAATGTTATTCAAAGAAGTACCTAATGCTCATCAAGGCTGCATATATTTGATTAAAACACAGTAAAAACAGTTCTTCAATACTGTGAAATATAGGGGGCAGTCGTAGCCTAATGGTTAGAGAGTCTGACTTGTAATCCAAAGGTCGCGGGTTTGAGTCTTGGTACCAGCAGGGATTGTAGGTGGAGGGAGTGAATAACCAGCACTCTCTTCCACCTTCAATGCCATGTCTGAGGTGAGAGTGTGTGTGTGTCTGTGTGTGCGCTTGGATGGGTTAAATGCAGAGCAAAAATTCAGAGTATGGGACACTGAATTTCGAGTATGGTTATACACAAATTATTACACTACATTATTACACTTTAAAATTACTTTAAAATTGTGGCGTTTAAACGATGCTCAATTGGTAATAAGGGGCCCACAGTGTGCCAAGATAATATCCCCCACACCATTACACCACCACCACCAGCCTGAACCATTGAGACAAGGCAGGATGGATCCATGCTTTCATGTTCTTTACGCCAAATTCTGACCCTACCATCTGAATGTCGCAGCAGAAATCGAGACTCATCAGACCAGGCAACGTTTTTCCAATCTTCTATTGTCCAATTTTGGTGAGCCTGTACGAATTGTAGCCTCCGCTTCCTGTTCTTAGCTGACAGGAGCGGCACCCGGTGTGGTCTTCTGCTGCTGTAGCCCATCTGCTTCAGGGTTCGACGTGTTGCCGTTCAGAGATGGTATTCTGCATACCTTGGTTGTAACGAGTGGTTATTTGAGTTACTGTTGCCTTTCTATCATCTCTAACCAGTCTGCCCATTCTTCTCTCACCTCTCAACAAGGCATTTTCGTCCACACAACTGCCGCTCACTGGATATTTTCTCTTTTTCGGACCATTCTCTGTAAACCCTAGAGATGGTTGTGCGTGAAAATCCTAGTAGATCAGCAGTTTTTGAAATACTCAGACCAGTCCGTCTGGCACCAACAACCATTCCACGTTCAAAGTCACTTAAATCCCCTTTCTTCCCCATTCTGATGCTCGGTTTGAATTTCAGCAAGTCGTCTTCACCACATCTAGATGCCTAAATGCATTGAGTTGCTGCCATGTGATTGGCTGATTAGCAATTTGTGTTACCAAGCAATTGAACAGGTCTAAATCTTTTGTAACTTTATTAATGTATTTACTGTCACTTCTGATTAATTTAATGCTGAATAAAAGTATTAATTTCTTTAAATAGAAAAATTTTACTGACCCTAAATTTTAGTATATAGGCCTGTATCAATAAAAGTATATATATCAACAGCAGATTTTTCCATGAACCAGTATTTAACATAGCCTGGGTTGTATTTTTCTTTTCTTTTTTACCTAAAAGTTCAGATTTTATTTTGCTACCCTAATAACGCATAATTATATGGTTAGTTGTAATTAGCATACTTTTTTCCACTGCCCTCTGCGACCCTATTAGAGAAGACCTGCAACCCACTAGTTAAGAACCTTTGGATTATTTCACAGAAAGAGATAACTGCATGCAGAGCATTCTGGGTGTCACTACATTTATTGAAGTGTTTGTGGCTTTGGGTCATGATTCCTGGTTTGCCTGCTCAGGTAATGGACCGCCGCTGCGGTTGGTTGGTGGGGAGGAGGACTTTGAGGGACGAGTTGAGGTCTTCCATAATGGGCACTGGGGGACCATTTGCGATGATCAGTGGGATGACATGGATGCTGAGGTGGTCTGCAGGCAGCTCGGATTGGGGTGAGTCCAATGTAGAACTAATATATCAAATACTAATCGTTCACACCCTGTCATAAATATACAGTGGATGGTTTCAGAGTAATACATCATACTTTTAACTCCTACCTTTTCTAAAATGCCTTTTGCAAACATCTTGGCAAGGTTTTAAAGAAGCAGTTGCACATGTTGTCTCTTGTGAGGTATTTTCATTCCTGAGTGCTCTTATCTCGATGAGAGGAAGATTGGGTGATAACCCATGGGAAGGTCGTCTGGAAGTATATCACTCTGGGGACTGGGGCACGGTGTGTGATGACAGCTGGACGGAGCAGCATGCACAGGTGGTCTGCAGACAGCTGGGATTCAGGTGCTATTCTTTAATCCTGCCGGTAGCTGTGTATATATACAGTAGCTGTATTATTTAAAACTGAGGAATGATGTCAGAATATTTCAAACAGTTGGGCCTTGATTAACATAGATTTCATATAAAAGACATTTGGTAATGCAGTCATGTATGTAAATTTGTAATATACAATACTGTTAAAAAATTTGGGGACATTAAGATTTTTTGGTGTTTTTGAAAGAAGTCCTTATTGCATTTATTTATTCAAAAATACAGTAAAAAACACAATATTGTGAAATATTATTACAATTTAAAATAAATTATAATCATTTAAAAATTAAAAAATTTAATTTATTCTTTTGATTGCATAGCTGGATTTTCAGCAGCTATTACTCCAGTCTTCAGTGTCACATGAACCTTCAGAAATCATTCTAGTATGTCAATTTTTTTGTACAAATGTAAAATTCTTTACTGTCACTTTTGATCAATGTAATGCATCCTTACTAAATAAAAGTTCAAAGTTAAAAAAAAATCTTACTGACCCCAAACTTTTGAATGGTAGTGTAATTTTGAATAAAACAATTGCCAAAAGCTCACAATAAATAATTTCATATCGTTTTTGTACTTCACAGCATTGTTACATTAATTTAAATATATAGGTATAGAGAAATAAACAGAAGTATATTAAAAAATGTTAATAATGTAGATCAACAATCTTCAGTAAATTAGTGCCCAGTATCAAATGCCTTAAGTTTATATTATCACTAAGGGTTTTCTTAACCTAAGGGGGTTTGTTTTGCAATCGGCTGCAGGGATTTAGTAATTAAATTCACTTAGAAGTGTCCTCCTATACAATAGTAGTAAGTGTCCAATGTGGGCGTATGAATGTCTCTATAGGATCAATATGTATAAATGAAGTATTTTGCGGGAGAATTTAAAGTAGCTTTAAATTATTGGGAATTTATCATGAGTGTGTGTGTGTCCATGTAGGGGTGGTGCAGATGTCGCTCCTGCTGGCGCTTTCGGAGAAGGAACAGGGCTGATTCTGCTTGACGATGTGGAGTGTGAAGGCAGTGAGAGCTCTTTGCTGGAGTGTAAACATAGTGTGTGGGGTCGACATGATTGCTCTCATAACGAAGATGTTGGAATACTCTGCCACAGGGTAGAAAACAATGAGGTCCCACTGGCTCCAGAAAGTACTGGTGAGTTATCTGGAACACACACCAACATACGCTTCAGTGTGTGAGTAAGGCTTTGTGTGAGGTCGGTGCAGATACGTTTTGCTGATATAATTTTCTGTGTGTGCACCGCTTTGACCCTTTCTGAAATTCAGAGGGGATCTAAATGTCACTTGTTGACAGAGGCCAGGAATAAACGCAGCCATTGTAGTTTCCCAAGTGCTTGCTTTTAATGATAAAAACTTCCATTTAAATGTCAATAAAGTATCGTGTAGCCCTTGGCATCCACAATGCTACCTTTGCCATTTGACAGTGTAACATTAGAAAAACATGATTTATTTTCCCCAAACAAAAATTTCAATCTAAACTATTATCATATAACATCAGTACTCTTTTTGCCCCCAGTCAATGACATTTTGAGTATGTTTGAATAGGTATGTTTGAAATCTTAGGTTTGAATGGCAAGATTCATCAAAATGTGTGTGGCTGTGTGTTGCTTATAATGTTCTGCTAGCATTGTTATCTAAGAGATGAAAGATGACAAAGTCAAAATTCATGATTTTATTGATTAAAAAAGTTAGGCCTTTTTAAATGTTTCTTTGTATGATAAAGAACATTAGAGCCTTTGATGTAGCATTGGATTTTGGACGTTCAGTACGAATTGAAGATTCCACCTTATAGGAACCTTACATTACCTACTGTAATTGTCACTTTATTCTAATAGACTTTATATATCACAATTATGAGTATAATTGCAACTTTTTACACTAGTACAATTACTGTCAAACGAAACATATACTTTTATTCAACAAGGATACAATAAATTGATCAAAAATTATATTAAATATATTTATGTTGTTACAAAAAGATTTTAAATAAATGCTGTTCTTTTGAACTTAATATTAAATTAACTTATTAACTTAAAAAATGTATCACGGTTTCCACAAAAATATTAAGCAGTAGAACTGTTTTTTTCAACATTGATAAAAATAAGAAATATTTATTGAGCATCAAATCAGCATATTAGAATGATTTCTGAGGATCATGTGACACAATGGGTGCTTAATAATGAGCTTTTTCATCACATAAATTAAAATATTTTAAATTTAAAATACATTAACAAAGAAGAGTTATTTTAAATGGTAATATAATATTTTAAACTATATATATAAACTTGGAAACAAAAAAGATATATATCTCACAGTAATCACCTGTGTATGTCTCACAACAAACAAAAAAACTGTGAAAATGAAAATTATAAAAGCAGACAGAAATTGTGTATCCTCAGATCTCTTCCTTGTTACATTCGTTTTCTTTTTACAGATAGAAATTAAATGCACAGAAAGCTCGATATACAGTGGGCATTATATTATATTTTACACAATATTTAATCAAAATTTCAGAAATGATAACTGAAAACAGAAATAAAGCTGTTGTTGTTTAGAAACCAACACTAGGGGGAGCTAACACTTCTGTTCATTAGCTAGGCGTTGTTAAATGCCATACACTGGTATTAGTCACTAGCTAGTGAACTACAACCTTTGCATCCCCTTACACTAGCTACTAATGATTTAAGCACTGCACGTAGTTCACGACAGCGCAAAGTGTATAGCAATGGGTTGATGCCTGAGTTCAGCAGGCATAGTGTACTGCAGAAGGCAAATGCCTTTTTTTGTGGTTTTGAAAGCTCTGTTGCAACTACATCTGTCATCATGAAGGAAAGGACAGGCAGCCAACACACTAACAGAATTAGCAAAACACAGCTAAAAGTCTTTGCCAAATGGATGTCCACACGCATACGTGCTAGTTCTGGATGTTCAGCGGACATATTGGCTTCATGTTTGTGGGCCATCCACACTATCAGAGCATAGGCTACCAGTATGAGGACGATCACCACCAACACAAGACTGGCAAAGAATCCCAAGTAGTAACGATTCACATATGGAAAGAGATGGGAGCATGATTGACAAGCCTGACATCTCCAGCCCATCAGAGGAAGGAAGGAAATGAGGGCAGCCATAACCCATAAAGTCACAATAGCCACCAAGGCTCTTTTACGTGTCAGCAGCACCTTGTAGGTTGAAACCTTGTAGATGGCGTGATAGCGGTCAGCTGCCATCACAAGCAGACTTCCAACTGATCCTGTAAACGCCATGGTCACGCCACCCAGCTTAAGCAGATACTCTGTTTGCTCAAACGATTTGTCAGAAAGGTGGAAATTCAGGAAGTTGATGGTGAAACAGATGCATGCAATAGTGTCCGCCAATGCCAAGCTGCCCATAAACAGGTAAGACGGATGTTGCCGTAGGTTCCTAGAGCAAGCTATGACAACCAGAATGAGCACATTGACCAGGAGGCTGAGAGGTGTGATCAACAGACAGATGGTGCCGATGGCTACCTTCTCTGTGCTGTTTAGCACTGTGTAGTCATTTTTGCAGGAAATCGTCATAATTTTAGTTATGGAAGTCTGTGAAAGTACAGTATATTGTATCATTTTAGATTTCCACAATTTGCTTTTGTAGCTGTTTTGTAGTGTTTTACTCACCTGTACGAATCGGTTATGAATTGTGCTTCTTCCTGGTGGTGTTGTGTGGTCTGTTGTCGCGCGTCTAACCCAGTAACACCATGTTAAACAGAAAGAAAAAAAAACTTTAAAATGATATACGTACATACCTAATATAGACACATACATACACACACTTAACAATAATTAAATAAATTATAATAATTAGACAATCATTTAAATAAATAATAATAATTAATTAATTGCCTTTTTTTGGAGAGTAGAAGCTTTACAGACCCATCTGTCACAAAAGCAGTTTCTTGAACAAGTGGCAGATCTGTGGTTAGTGGTTGTCAACATGAAGGCTTACACAACTACATTATGTTGTATGTGTGTGTTCTGCCTGTTGGAAAAATTTAATTTATTTATTTGACTTTAACATCTTTACATGAAAAGGCATGCACAACCCGATATACTTTGATTATGCAACACATTGGATAAAAAAAAGGATATTTAATGAGAATAATGCAGCGCAGGACTTTTATCCATTAGGAGCTGATGGATAGTGAAAGTTGGGCTGCTACGTATTAGAGAATGAGGGGAGGGGTATCAAGACAGATATTCAAGACGATAACTGAAAAGGAAAGCTTTTTTTTCTGTAACGTGCACTGAGGAATTGCATACAAAAAGAATGTGTATTAAGATGTGCATGAATGTGTATTAAGAATGTAAATAAATAATAAAAGGTCTATTTTGATTTCATGTTCATTTTAAGATGCTATAAAACACTGACTATTCATTCTTCCTTTTCACTGACTGTTAACATCATGTGCTTACATGTCATGTTGTGGTGTAAGCTACACTGCCAGTAACAGAGCCTGCTTCTTTCACTCCTAATGCATTACACAAGACTGAGGTGGATGTGCTTCTTTTGTCTGAAACAAAATAAACTGAAGTCTGCAGTCACACCACATTTCTTAAATCATTCATGTCTTTCGTCTAACTGCCTGTATTAAGCTTAAATGGAAAACTACTACTGAAAAAACTACTTTTTGAAGATGCACAGTACTCTAAGTGACACAATCTAAGCTCTGTTCTCTATTTTGCTTGCTTTTCTGTGGTTTCAGGACCTCTGGTACAATTGGCAGGTGGCGACAATAGAAAAGAGGGCAGAGTGGAGGTGTTTCTTAACGGAGAGTGGGGCAGCGTCTGTGATCATGGCTGGAATGATGTCAATGCTGCCGTCGTCTGCAGACAGCTCGGATTCACGTACGGATCCATTTGCATCATTTTAACACAAAATTACGGTGGCCGAGAAGTGCAAAGCAAATCACAATTCTGAAAACAAAATAACAAATTACAAACGCAAATGCAA